ATTCAATGTTGGGGTTGCTCGCCCAGTCATAATTTTTTTAATATCGAACGAATTTGCTTGAATTTAGAAACTTATGTAGGTATTACCAATGTGCTGCGATAGGAATTATTGCAGGTTTTTACATAAATTAGTTTTTGATTAATACGGAAAAACAAAATGTTGGATTAACTCACCCATTCATAATTCTTTCAATACTAACGGATCGCCTTGTTTATAGGAATATAAGTACCACTTGCTGTAAGCATTTACAGTAAGTACTTATATTCCTGCTGTAAATGCTTACAGCAAGTACCTCTATTCCTGCTGTAAATGCTTACAGCAAGTACTTATATTCCTGCTGTAAATGCTTACAGCAAGTACTTACATATTCCTAAAAACAAGGCGATCCGTTCAGGATTGAAAGAATTATGAATGGGTGAGTTACTCACACATTTCGTTTTTCCGTATAACCAAAAACGACTTAATGTAAAAATCTGCAATAATTCCTATCGCAGAAAATTGGTAACACCTAGTTAAGTTTCATGTTTGAAACAAATTCGTTCTATATTAAAAAAATTCTGACTGGGCGAGCAGCCTCAACATCGAGTGTTTCCATTTTAATAAAAAAAAATTGATGTAAAAAACTGCAATAATTCCCATCACAGCGCATTAGTAATGCTTAGTAATATTCCAAATTTCAATTGGATTCATTTGTTATAAAAAAAATTATGACTGGGCGAGCTGCCCCAACATTGAGTTATTCCATATTAATAAGAAACAAATTAATGTAAAAATCTATAATAATTTCTATCACAGCGCATTGGTAATACCCTTAATTCAACCATGGGTAATACCTACTACCTTTCACAGGCCAACTCATTTCTTACAATTGATCAATGAAACTCCATGAAAAATTCATTAACCTAATTTCCTCGAAATATGGTAGCTGTTTGGCTCAATGAAAACGGATTTACTTCGAGGCAAATGCGACTCGTGGAATACAGACGAAGATTTCCATTGATAAGGAAATATGCGAGTTATAATTCTTCATTTGCTAGGTGCAAAGTTGGGCCAACATTAGGCTTAGATTTGTTTTCAAAATATTTTAAAAAATGGGAGATTTATCCGGCGACCGAAATTACTTTATGTATATTAATCGTTAAGGACATTTATCTTGGTCACTATACCTGAATTGAATTTAAATGAAACGGTCGTGTTTTAGATGAAATAGAAAAGTTTTGCATGTAAATTTCTTCCGGGAAAGGAATAAGAAAAATTTATTGCAGTAACTTCCATATTTTGTAGCGCCTTAATTATTTTCGCGCAATTATAAGTCTGGATCCATTTTGTTTATATACTCATATTTTTACGAACAATTAACTGAATAATGTAGCTATTTATAGTCAAGCAGTGAATCCCAACCCGAACAACTGAGCGGTGGGCAGTAGCTAGCTACATTTTCAGTAGCGGTAGCGGTAGCGGCGCTACATTTAAGCAATTGTTGCGGTAGCGGTAGCGCCCGCTACATATTTAAGTAGCGATACGAGGTTTTGCCGCTACAGCGCTACCGCTACATTTATAGATAAAGCCTTTTGATTTTACTTAATAGTATTAAATATTATTTAAAAACCAGCATGATACATATATAATATAAATTACAGAATAAAACTGTACGAAAGATTTCGGTGTAATGTTGTCAACCTCAGCCTAGCTGTTAATACTGTCAACATGTTAGTTGTTATTTGTTAAGTTGTTACCAGTTACCACTTACAGGTATTTTTTCATGTTTCAGTTTGCTTAGTTATTTTTACACAGTTATTTTTATGTTCACCTTCCCTACATGGATGACTACTTTAATCTACCATTCTCAAAAATAATCCACATATACAGGGTGACTCCCAAAAAATTTGCTGAAGGTAAAGGCTTATGACTCGAAAAGTATTAAACATAGAAACATTAAATAAAAAAAACACATGAAAGAGTAGGTATACCTTCAAGTTTTATTCAGATTACTATAAATGTTCAAAATGCCCACGCCCAGTGGTTAAAGTTCAGAGTACCAAGATTGACGCACTAGAGAGGCGCGGGTTCGATCCCAGCTCTGTGCGCCAGTTTCTGATCAGAATCGGCAAGGAGGCCGGGCGGGCAAAGCAGAATTGTAGCAGTGCGTTGCGAGTTCGAGACCTCAAAATGCTGTGAATGTTCTGCGATGTTAAGAATCGGCGACAGGCCTACGGCCTAATAAACGCTGAAACCGCTATTATTATTATTATTATTATTATGACCTCGCTGTTGAATACGCAGGTTAATACGTTTTTCAAAATTTACGGTTACTGTAGACAAGGTATCCTGGTCAATAAGTGCCAGAGCTTCACGAATTGCTATCTTCAGATTGTCGATGCTGCTTGGCCTTGTACTGAATACTTTTTCTTTCACGTAACTCCATAGGAAGAAATCCAAAGGCGATTCATTAATTCTTTCTTCAATCATGGCAATGTTTTCTTCTGATTTTCCAGTTCTTTGCTGTCCAGAATGACCTTTATTTTGATTCAGGATCGTTCCTTTATCTTTCCACTGACGTATCCAATTCTTGATTGTGTTGAGACTAACTTCTTGTCTGTATTTTGTGGAATCCCCTCTCTTTATTTTGGTTGGTGAAGTTTTCAGGTAAAATTGTTCGATAATGAATACTCGTTGCTCAGAATTTAGCTGCATTGTAGGGGAATCGTGATCTTAAAAAAATAATGAGTTTTATATATGAAATATATAGAGAACTTTGGTAACATGGATAGTATCAAATAAAACTTGAAGTTATACTCTTTCAAGTGGTTTTTCTTTCATCTTTCTACGTTTAATAATTTTCGAGTTATGAGCCTTTACCTTTAGCAACTTTTTTTGGGTCACCCTATATATACAAATAAAAGACTGATTTTTATATGTATATGTGGATAATTTTTGAGATTGGTAGATTAAAGTAGACATCCATGTAGGGAAGGTAAAACATAAAAATAACTGTAACTTTTATTTACTGTATCTAACCCGTACTAGTTCGGTTAGGTTAATTGTAATAAAGTTGCATTGATATGTTTTGAAAATGTTTTATTAGCATTAAATGTTTATGAGTAAATCCCAATAGCAGAACAATAAATATGTAGAGATTTCCAATAATTTTGGCCATTGTAGCGGCTCATGTAGCGGCGCTACATTTTACTGTAGCGGTAGCGGTAGCGCCCGCTACATTTAGAGCATGTAGCGGTAGCGGTAGCGGCGCTACATTTCAAAGTTGCGCTGCCCAGCTCTGGGTATGCCCACCACTACCGACTGGTAAGCGTGGTTTGCATGCTACTCGTAACTTTACACTACAGCGTGCCGCGGGCATTGTAGGCCAAGGCAACCATGGGCCAAGGCCCCTAGGGTTTCTTACGGCTTATGTACGATTTCTAGTTAGTTATTTCTAGCAATAAAAAAATATGTGCTTCCTAACGCATGATAATCTGGTAACCATTTACAATAGCTGCTACACGCCCCTCAACGAGTCCCAGAGGCTCAATATTTAATTCGCAAATCACACTTCATAAATGTGCCTATTATTATTCGTTCATTGAAGAAGATAAAATAGTACCATAACGTTAGCGACTTACACGCAGTGTTACTAGAGTGTGCATGAGTATACCTGGTGGCAGGCTTGCACTGTGCAGGACATGTAAATTAGCAAAATTGTTGAGCAAAAATTGTTGGGAACGACTGTATTACAACTGATTAGAACTGGTCACAAAACTTCGTGTGGTCGCGTAACTCTTGGGGGTTCCGTGCAGTCTGTTATCAAGGCGTTAGCAAATAGACCAGGTAGTTCCCAAACTTTTACAGGCTAGCTCCCCCTTTGGCTCCCCAGTGAATCTCTAGCGCCCCCCTCCCTCGACAGACACATATAAAAACAAACGCCTCTTTCTTGATATTTAGACTTTAGTACGCTGCAATTTTAAAGAGAAAGGTTAAACACAAGTGTTTATTTCACAAATAGAACCCCATTTAGTAAACCAACATATTTTTTTACAGTTTTAACTGTTTCAGCACTAGAAATTCAAGACGGCTCAGACAAATTTACGGCCGGACTCGTGGCCGGTCTCACGGCCAATCTCCAAATTTAGTGACCAAGAAATATCTCTCAAACTGAGCGCAGCTCGGTAAAACTTGGAACACCTATTAATTAGGACCTAATAACGGTGATGTTAAGCTCGTGAAAAAATTTTAAATTTCACCTTCATTCGGGAGTTATATGGCGATAAGGGCCGTAATTCGCAGTGATCAAAGAATTTCTTCTGAACTACTGAACAGATTCGAACGAAATTTTGAATATAATTCCTAACTACCAAACGGTGATTTTTAGCTCGTGAAAATTTATTCGAATTGGAGTCATGTTCTGCATGTGTTGTGTACAAATCGTCAAACAAACGTACAAACTTCTGACTTCGACTTCGCGGACTGCCGCCCCCCTACTGCCCCTTTCTTCCTCACCGGCCCCCCCAGATCTTTCCACCGCCCCCAGGGGGCGATATCGCCCACTTTGGGAACCACTGAAATAGACAGTGCCCCGTACGTTCAAATTAGATGCATCTTTTACATACTGACCACAACACGTCTACAATGTGGGAAATGTTCTCATGGATGTTGCTCATTCTTAATTACATACACATACTCCTGTATGGATGAAGTAATTAAGGTAATTTTTAGTTGTTGTTAGGCGTGCTCAAACAACTTCGGTTCGCCGCGTGCTGTTGAGACTCAGAGAGGGTAGCGGTTTTTTTTTGAGTAATGTGTTATACAAGTGAAAATCAGTAGTAAAATATTTATTGAAAAGAATGCGTATGAAACTAAGTAAGTATTTACGACTGTAAAAATATCCGTACTAATTATACTTTCTCAAATGCAGAGTGATTCATGATAACATGATACCTGTTGAATACTTAATTATTATTAATATTAAATATATTAGGATTTTAATTATTATAGATAAACCCCAAAACAATTAATGATAATAATCTGTACACTCAAATTATTTAGTGCCTCCATAGAAACCATCTGCAAGACCTTACAAGACTTTCCAAACTTAAAATAAAACTGAACCATGGGAACATTAATGAAAATAAGCACACTTTGCGGTTTCATCGAAAAATCCACACGATTCGAATGTTGCACGACATCACTGAACATCACGATTTGAATGTTGCTTCATCAGAGTCCCAGCCTCAGGTGTATATCGCGAGTGTCATCTTGGTGCAGCCTGGAAAAACATCATTGTTATTGACACGTCTACTCTATTCATATAAAAACTTGCGTTACAATAATATATTTACAGCAATTTTTTCAGTTACCAAGATCATTGTTCTCGTCCGAACAAATTTTGAACTGACGTAAATTTCCTATGACCACTGGTGCAGGAGACGCTCCACTTTTTAGCGCATTTTCTCATTTATGGAAAAAAGGCGCTATTGTGCTCGTCATGTCCGTCCGTCCGTCTGTCTGTCTGTCCGTCCGTGACCTCACGTGTTCGTCGACGAGAAAATGCGCTCTCTGTCACTCACTGCAGTGAGTACTGAGTTATATTTTTTACTAGATGTCTTCATTCACCTACCACAGGGCGGATGACACGCATATCCAGAAAGCGTTATCAAGAGGAAATACGTTGACCGGATTTAACTTACGTCTCTACCGTCCATCTGCAGGGTACGCGGATGCCCTGCTGACAGCAGACGTTCGCTCTGTTTTCGTGGGGGAACTCGTCGCTTAGGAACTGAAGCTCCTGGTCGGACAGGCCGCAGCGGAGTAGAAAAATTTCGTCCAGTCTAACATGAGACACAAGGGTGGGACAAAATGAGGGAAACTCCTTAAAAATCCACAAAATATATGATATGCAGGTTTACCTTTTGTGGCAATTGCAACCTCTATTCTCTGAAGTATATTCATACAACTTGTGAATCGCTAATTTTTGACTAGCACCTGCTATATACGAGCACCAACAATTTGACCTCTTTCCAATTTATTAAAAATACCTGTAGAAGCATAAAATATCAATTAGCAGAAATAATAAAAGATAAAACATTAAAATATGTCACTTTCTTATTGATAATAACATGTTCAAAAATTATGATCGTAAAATGTTAATTGTTTCCATAATTTTTCATAACCCCTGCATGTACTAATTCATTTAAATAAATAACTGATGAACGACATCATTGGAGATTTAGGTAACATCGAGTTTAAATTGAGACTGATGAAAAAAGTTCCTATAATTTAAGAAATTCTTTTGTTGCAAATCTCTTTAAATAATAATAATATAATAACTGCATGACCATTGTTATTAGGATTGATAAATATCAAATACGAAATTTTTTAGAATGAATATAACATTTAAAAATGCAAATAAAAGTTTAGAACAAGGACTCATTTTCAACGAAGTAAGAACGGCAAAAAAGTATTCGTAAATACCAGAGCTATGTGGTTCCTAATCGATATCTACCGTCAATGCTCTTTATCAGCATCTAGTGATAAGAAATATTGGGCTGCCCAATCACGATTATTTTCAACAAGCTTGTTGTTCCTAAATGATCAAGTCATGCAACTAAATAACAACGCAGTTGATTATAAATAATTAGGATAAAGTTCGCGATGATGTTCATATGGTAACAATATAGTATGATCTCAGGTGCTTCGTTTACATGTTACTTGACGATGACCAATACAAAATGTTCCCTACACGAAAGATAAGTAATGTGGACTCGCCCGCCACAAAGTGTGACGCATTAAATTCACAGAAAATTATAGAGCGCACTCTCAATTATGCAACGGAATTTAACAGGGCTTTTGTTATCATGTGAACAAGTTCTTGATAAACTATGATGAGAGGAGCTCACTTGAAATTATCCAGACTTTATTGCAGCTGCAGAAACCTTTTTAACATTTTTTGCGACTTTTAACATTTAATTATATTATTTTCATTTAGGCACTAATTAAAGCATTCAACGTATTTGATTAATTTGATCAGATTTTATAAATTACTACCGTCAATGCCGATAACGTTGCCACAAGTCGCCAGCCTTCAAAAGAAACAATACATTTTATAAACAAAACTGAATCTCATCTCTCTAGTACGAACAAACGATCAAAACAGCTTCGTAGTTATCTTGTGGTTATCGAATCCAACAAACCGTATTTCTGACCTGTAGTATTATAGGTTTTTAGTGACAAGCGGCGAGGTAAGTGCAGTATCTTCTGAGTGGCGTCTTATTTGTCATTAGGGGTAGTGAACTTCCATTTATAAAGAAATCTAGGCACAAGAATTAAAATGTACACAGTTTTGTGCTAATGGCATCGGCCATTGCTTTACACGCAGGTAACATTAAGGGAATCAGCATAAAAACTTGAGTATAAAACGAAGAAATGTGTTTATATTGCAGTAGTCACCCGCAAGTGGGAGGAGCGAGAGCCACCAAAGTGTTGAGTAGCCACGGTGCTGCCCCAGCGGGTAAGTCTCTAACTCCAAGGCCGAGCTCTACGTCTGGCAGCGGGTGGGGAGGCGCGTCAGGTTCTGAATCACTGCCTGGCCACTTGATGGAGACCTCTGTAACCATGAGCTCGATTGACGAAAGCAAGTATTAATCCATTCAAACTAAATCTCAAGACTTCAATCTCGGCATTCAATCAGTCATGAAGTAAAAGGCACTAACTAATTTTGCTTCGCGAATGAATATTGAAATTGTTATCGTAGATGTTGGTCATTGTGCATCACCTACTAATTTTTTCCTAAATAGGCCTCTATGACCCGACTTTATTAAATTATTAAGTAAAAAGCACTAATTCTACTTTACGGATATAAATTCAAAATTTTCACGGTACGTAGATGTTGGTCATTGTGCATTATCTATGAACTTTTCCTAGACAAGCCTTGAATATTTCGACAAAAATGTATGTAAAGGAACTCTGGATATTTGAAAGCGGCTTCAATTTGATTCAAGCTTTTTTAAAGTTCTGGAAGACAACATAGACAACGAAACGTCAATAGTCTGAAGCCAACGAACCAAGAATGGCGAGTTTGTGAGCAGGTAGGAGGTGAAGATCATGCAGGAGAGGGGGCACCAGGGCCACCACGAGGGTGCATCGTCTTGTGAGCAGAGGGGCAATGCAGGCACCTCCGCTCAGCGACACGCATCCGATCAACCGCCTTATGTAGCATCTGTTATCACGCAAATACCAAATTTTTGCGTTTGAGCGCACATTTTAAATCATGATTTCCAAATACATATAAATAAAAAAATGTTGTAAGATAAAGTGTGGCAGGTTAAGAGATATAAAGTGAGCAAGTAATAATATGTTTTGTAATAATAATGTAAATGGAATAAAAATGGTGTGAGAAATTCACGGTGATATTAGAAATATTTCATAAACTTTCTAAATTTCGAATGAAATTTGAATAATTCAAAATTAAAAACATTTATCGGAAAAAAGTCTTATATAAAAACTTTTAAATGGATATAACCATACGGTTTTTAAAATTAACACGCACTGGCTTCCGCGCAAGTTCTCGAGGAGGTCATCGATGGGCGTCATGGTGCTGTAGGACCTCCAGAGATCCAGCGTCAAGCCCCCGCTGTACTTAGAGTCCCGAATCGTAGCTAAAAACTTCTTCAGCAATTTTGGAGTTCTTTCTCCCTCACGAAATTGAACGTTGATTTGTCGCGGGTGTTTAATGGGGAGCATGTGAATAGCAGCCTCCAGAGTTCGTTTGGTGATTCTCCATTCACCAATTTCAACAACTTTTGAGGCTTGAACTACGATATTTTTATGGTAGTTACACTTAGATAAGACTTTACTCCAGAACTCCAACTCATCTTGTCCCGCTTCCTCCAAAACAAGAGCTAAATCCCTGATTTTTTTCTTCAAGATGTTTTCTTTCCTCTGGTTAACAAGATCAACGATTGCGTAGGCAAACACGTTCCCAAACCTGAAAAACACACGCAAATTATTGTTTATCGAAAAACTTTTCAATACTATAAAGTACAATAATTCAATAATGTTATACTCTATGCGCTGAGACTGGCAAGCTCAATGATAATATAGATTAATTCAGTGCCACAAACTGGCAGATGAAAGCATAATTTGAATTTGTTCTTGACACTCACTTGTGGATGTCTGAACCCTGCACCGGCTCTCCGCTAGTTTCCTCTAGAATATTCCTCACAGATTTGTTGGTTTCAAGCAGACGAAGTAAGGCTCTCGATGCCATGAATTCTTGCAGGTTTCTTTCCGGAAACTGATACGTGTAATTGTGGAACGCTTTTGGTCCCGAAATGTAGGATCCGTTGTACAAGAAGATTGTCGACAGTACGTCTTCGATTGGGAGTGGGTTTCCTGGAAATTTTTCAGAAAAAGATCTCTTAAAGTTCAAGCAGTCTTCTGCAGTTAGAAACAAGGTATTCTTATGAACGCATTTGAGTGACAAAATGCAAGTTTCGTTTATCAAGGCGTCAATTAGAACATCCAAGTTTGCAATTCTTTTCCCACAGAAGCGAACATCCAACATTTCTTTGTAAAGTTTGAGAACTTCGTTGTAGACGTCATATTCTTGAGACCATTTGCAGATTGATTCAGTAGTTGACTGATCGAAGAGGCTGCAGAAAAGAACCAAATTTGTGGGACGATTGAAAAAAGTTCTCAAGCTCCGGTCTGTTTTTTTGAATGCATTTGTCAATCCCTTCATTTTCGGATTCTTTTCACTAAGTGCATTTTCGTACAATGTTAGAAATTGCACCTGCTCCTCTTCATGCTGAATTCTTTCCATCGAGAAGGTTCTGTAGCTGAAACCAAGGATGTTCGCTCTTCGGTAGACGTGTTGAGTGAAGGAGGGGCGCATCGCAAATAAGAAAGTGCTATTCTCCTTAGCGGTTCTCAGCAGCAGATCTTGTACAATATGTATGCATTTGTCACTCAGTTCGTCGAGTCCATCGAATATGAATAAGTTGTTGCTAGAGAGAATGGCATTGAACACGTCTTCTACTCTGAACTGAGAACAAAGATCAGGATACGCTGATCGAATGAATTCATAGTGGGTGTAAATATAATTTTCCCTGCTACTGTGGTAGTACACGCAATCAAACTCATTCAGCATATCGAACTTCTGTGAGGATTCATTCAAGAAGTCGTGAATGAGCATTTTGAGGAGAGTCGTTTTTCCGGTGCCAGCCTCTCCTTCCAGGACTATTATCTTGTTCAAGGGATCGATGTCGGGTTCTTTTTCCAGCAATTTCCATGGGTCGACAATTTTCGGGTGGACCGTGAATTCTGGTCCTTTGACTGATAGTTGAACAGGAAAGAATACACTTCGTAAAGGTACTTGATAATCGCAGAGGTACAAGTTCTCATTGGTGCAGAACATTCCGCAAAGTTTATCAATAGAACGTCTGCATTCTGCCTGAAGTTGATTTTTCAGAAGGATTAAGTTCTTTTCCTTACTAGTCATTAGAGTTTCCCTCACAGTTTTCATTTTTGCAACTAAAGTTGATTTTTCATTCTCGATCTGATCTTCGGATAACGAATAAACTTGGCCAGCCAATATGATGGCTTTCTCAATAAGAGTTTCAATTTGATCAGTTAGTGTTGGACACGTTGCACCAGTTTTTAAATTATGTGATACTTCGTTTCGGATTTCTTTTAACGCCGTCAACTGACATTCTAGTTTATCTTCTCTTTCTTCCTTCCACACTAAATCTTTAGGAGGAGCGAGATGATGACAAGCCACTTTGATTAACGAATACAATACACATACATCGAAGTCCTCAGGAGTTTTCTCCACACTCAGTGTTTTCAGTTGCCAGTTCGGGAATGAACGTATGCTTAATTTCCGTCTTTCTACGTATTGGAGATAAGTCTCTTCTGGTAATTTATCGGGGCACCCCCATTCGAGTATTTTACGCAAAAAATAGGGAACCACTTCATCGACCGCTTTTTTGTTCTTGAATCTATTGATGTCACGACTGGAAAGTACAGGAAGAACAATTTTTTTTGATGCATTACTTCCCACAGACGTAGTTCGTTCTGGCGACTCTGGACTCCCTAGAGCATCGAAGGGTGAATTTACATCAACAGTGCCAGGCCCTGATTTTTGTTCGGTTGGCAAAGAGACAGAGCGAGTCTGATAATATTTATCTGCCGGAACGTCTATAAGTCCGGTACTTGAAAGCTTTCGGGGTATTACTATGCCAACGTCAGTGTCATCGAATTCGAAGTCCAAGGATTTTCTAGAAATTGCGGAACCATTCCTATTGTAGTCTGAAGTCGGCGACAACGGCAGACTGGTGGAGGAATATTTAAGGCTGTCAACCCTGTTCTCTCTAGGAGTAACTTTAGAATTTTCAGTCGACTTCAAGTGATACTTGGATTTAGATGGTTTTGTACCCATTGGAAAGTGGAGTCGATCGAAAATGACATGTAATTATATTATATTTAATTCTTATACATTTGGGTTTGAAGGACGTCAACGTTGTCGGCCAATCGGAGTTTTCACTTACAATCTTCTAGAAAATTTTATACGATAAAGCTCTTGCCTTGTGTCTCTGTCATTACTGGTCACCAAGAATTTGTCGTTGGGCAAACCTCATGCAGGTTTGTTTGTTCCTGGTCCGTTGCTGCACCTGAACTGCAGGCGGCAGAGAACTGCGCCTAACTTGAGCCTCATATCTCGATGTGCCTTCACACTCCATCAGATTAGATATACAAATCATGAATAGAATCAAGGAAAGTTCCGGGTCACCATTTGCACAGGTAATAACATTATTTTTATTCGTGGTCATTTATGTCTGAGATATCAGACCAAATTAAAGTGTTAATGATTGAATGAAAGTTTTAAACTTTTGTTAAAAACAGAATCACTTCACGCAGTTGCTTAGTCTTCAAAGATATAATTATAGCTTTGCCTGAAGATGACTGATGAAAATAAAAGTTTATGGAACTGTATAAACTCCCAACAAACTTTAATTGGTTTGCAATAAACCTGGAAAATCTAACAAAATCGAAAAATTACTACAATTAATCACCAATAAATTGCTCTATTATAGGATTATAACCCTGAATAAAATTTAATCCATGTAATTTTGTGCACCACATACTTTTATAAATATTATTAAAATCATTCCCTCCTCAAAAAATGTCATCAAATCGATTGTTGAGCGGCATAGACGTATTGTTTACTCAGAACCCTGTCATCAATAACGATCAAAAACAGTCAAGTCTAGGAGATAAAAGGACAAGACCGAAACAAATTACCATCATAAAATATCTATAATTGGGGCGGACACATTTAAATCTAAAGAGCATAATAGTGGAACATCGACTGTATATGAGTACAAGGTCGCCCACATACGTGAACACAAAACCATTATGATATCAATAATTGTTCTACATAACACAGTTAACCATTGCGATTTCCTAAGATCGTCTGGAGACGATGCGATGCAGCTACTAGGTGCCCCAACGCGTATATTTTTTTATCAATGTAATAATTTATAATATTTTCTTTTATGCTTATCGCTCAGCAAGAAATGCAAATTAGATGCCCAAACGCACAATTTTGAGTATCCTAATTGAATTTATTGATTCTATTCGTTACAATCAATAGAACTTTATTCAATACATTAATGCTCGAGAATCACGCAGTAATAATTCATTAGCATTGTGTCCAGAAAATGGATGATCAAGCAAGGCCTGTATCATTTAGTGAGTACTAGATGCTGGTGCTACAAGTGAGAAGACCGAGATTTTTCGCTTAACTCTCAATAAATATAACGGTTTCGAATGCTAAAATCTTAGGAGTCGTAAGAAAGTAACTATTTATGCGTGAGAAAATGTTCCCAATTTGAAATTGATATTAAAATTGGAAGCGCAAACGATTAGGAGACATTGCAGAAAAATATTTCAAGTTCTTCTCACCTTCACGTGAACAGCGAACACGCAACGAGAGTTTCTAGCTCTCAGAGACAGTGTTTTTCGAGCGCGTTGGTTATGCTCAAGGAACATAATTGTGGTATGTATAAACTCTGCGATTTCATGAGCAGCGGCTTGTCAAAATACGAGTACGATAACTGCAGATATTAATGATAATTATGGGGATTTGTCACATATCATAAAATTTCTACGTTTTCAATGTTGAGTTTTTCACACAAATTAAAAAAAATGAGTTAGAAATTTCATTAAGTTTAAAAAAACATAAATAACGATTTTTCGAGATCGAAGACAAGTTTGGCTTCGCAAGATTAGGTAATGTTATCGCAGCAGCTTCTCTTTGCATGGAGAAGATTCGCTTGGAAGCAGTGTTGGATTACGACTACACTGATAACTATCAATACACATACAAATAATCTACAAAGCTACATTGCAGTAAAACACATACAGCGTCAATTGAATAACACTCTTATCATCAGTACAAAATAGATAGAAAGCTATCGATCCTAACTACACGCACTCATCAACTCTTTAAACAGCCAACGTTCATAAGACTGCAGTGAGGGCATTGTTGAAGAAGCGGCATCTCTGCCTTGTATTTGGGTTAAATGCGACGAAGATTCATTTCAAACAAACAAAAACCATCAACGTTCTCTAGTTTGAATATGTGTGTTGTAAACTTTATTCGATCAACGTTCACTGTGGTTAAAAGACTAATTATACCTGAATGATTCAATTATTAGGTGCCGTAATTAACTTATTTTCATAATAGTAAAATCATACAGAGAAGCAAGTTCCTCCAAAGCAATTGTACATACTAGTAATTCTAAGTACGTAGGAAAAATAATTGTTTTCATTATTTAAAAGATTCATAGCTGACTTAAAAGTATAGAACAATCTCAACAAAGCATGAAGTATAGCAAAACCAAGTTCTTGCACCGTGCATAGCAAACTAGTATAATAAAGTTCACAGCTGATGCGGTAGGACGACAGTGAATTCAGTACCGTATATTTAGATATTCTATTTCTTCCCTGTAGTTGCGGGTGGCTGAAATTTCAATAGATTAATGGGTAATAGGGCGCTCAATTAAATTTAAAAGAGTGCGTACCAAAGAGATAATTTGAGATATTATTATTTTGAGATATTCCGAGATATTTTGGTTCCACAAGTATAGCTGAAGAATTAAATGTTCTAGTAAGAAGCTGCCGTGGCTGCATTCACGAGAATATCGTTCGATTACCCATAAATTTTTTGATGATCTGGGTTTGCGGTACTGGGATGGGAAAAATTTTTTGTCGTGGTATCGACAGAATTGTAAAATTTTAATACTAAAAGGATTTTCATTCCTTGTGAGTCTTGCCATTGTGAGTTTCTTGTGTTTTCATAGATAATATAATTTATTATCTCTAATAATAGTATAGAAGATTATGCAATAGCGTGTAGTTTGCATTTTTTATCAGAAATAAAATCTCCTCTGAATCTACAACAACAGCTTAGCTTTAAGTAAAGATCAAATCACTTTTAAGGACCGCACCAACTGTTTATATAATAGCCCACTGTTATAGATTTACGCTTGGAATGCTTCCAAAATTAATTCTGTTCAAGTTTTCACTAACGCTTGAGTGTGGAGATTCTGGAAAATCGTTTGGTAAGGATATAGCTGTATCCTCATTGCAGTCCGGCTTTACGAAGAGAACTTCTTCAATTTCTGCTTCTTCAACCCATTCCACTCCTACAGCACCAGGTGGACGGTTGAGGAGAACACGGTCATGAGGTACTGCACCTTCAGTCTCATAAGATTCTAGTTCACTTTCGGCCCCGGCGCTATCTCGGAGAGAACGACGATGCATATTCGGAGAACTAGAGTGCCGTTTTCTAAAGAGTTTTATGCTAGATAACTTAAAATTACGTTGATGAACCTTTCCGATTCGTGCAGATACGTGCTCAGTGCTCAACAAATCGTCTTGATTTGGTTCAATACCAACCGTTTCGAGAGCATCAGCATCTTTTTTATAACTAACACTTTCAAGCCCATGAGGATATTTTTCCAGCACATCCGTCTCCTTTTTTCTCTTTGAATACAAAATTTTATAACACTTTTGTCGTAAAGTATTTTGTTGCGTTGCCTTGTTAGTAGGAAAATTCTCGTCAAGTTTTCTATGAGAAGTATTGCCAAGATCCAGTTCACCCTGACGACATTCAGAGTCTTCTGAAATTGGCTCGGGTTTTTTAGGTAATTCTAATTCATAACTGCCTCTACGGTCACTTGATTTCATTTCGTTTTCAAGCATCCTAATATCTCGGTAGTCGGGATTTGAACACATTTGCGTCCCTCTAGCGGTCCTACCATCCAAGAGCCCAGGGTCAGAGTGCTGCGTTACCGTGTATTGTTTATGGGACGAATCCTCGTCGTCTAGCTGGGACTCGCAGACGCCAGGATGGTTTGACGCTAACGCGGAATCCGAGTGATGTGCATCTTTGAAGTCCGGCTGTGACGAAGAACCTCTGGACATGCACTTGGTGCCCTGGTACACGCAGTTGGGGCACTTCGATCCTCGGTACAGGGAGTCGCCCAACAGGGACGGGGGACACGCTTGCTCGACGTCGCAGTAGTGCTCGCATATCGACCTCCTCTCTTGCCGCCAGGAGGACCGAGGACGCTTCTTTAGACGACCGCCGTAGGTGCCGTCCTTGAAATAAGCTTAAGTTGATTTACTATGTTCAACTATTTGGTACCAATCGAAATCTACCGAATAAAGAAGAAAAAAGTCAAAGCTGAGCGATGTAAACGCTCAATTTAGATATTAGAATTCGATGTATTCAATAGCCGTTTTTTGAAAAATACAATGCTAAGACATATAATTGTTGGCACGTAGTCCAATTTGTACCAACACAGACAGAAAAAATTTACCTCAGTACTCACTGCAGTGAGTGACAGAGAGCGCATTTTCTCGTTGACGAAAACTTGAGGTCACGGACAGACAGACGGACAGACAGACAGACAGACAGACAGACAGACAGACAGACGGACGGACGGACATGCGAGCACAATAGTGCATTTTTTCCATAAATGAGAAAATGCGCTAAAAGTTGAACATTAAGGCATCAATTGGCAAACCTGATTAGGTGGGAATCTGCCGTAGAGAGTGATGAGGGTGAAGAACATCGTCATGCCCAAGACGTTGGGGATGAAGGCCGTGCATTTCTCTACGGTGCTGTAGCCCATCCAGCGCGAGTACATGAACTGGTCGCCTGCACGTCACGGTGGGTAGGTGTAACATCTTTCTCATGCACTGAGTAAATTATTAATATTTAGCATAAATTAGCTTTTATAACTGCGTAATTTTTTTACGCATAAAAAATCCCAAATTGATTAAGTCAAATCTCCACACCGTTTCTCTCGTATAGTTTTAGAAGAAAAATAATACTGAAATCACAAAAACTGTCCGTTTATTGTGACGAGGGTATTCTACTCCTGATTGAATAAATGATGCACGAAAACGACAAACACAGCTGCTGAACCAACGCTCAAATGACTGTACCGTCAGATATCAGCCAAAAATATCAATACTGGTACGTATACCCAACAGCAGAGGGACTCTACGGCCGTCGGCCGGAACTAACGGCCTATGGACTCCACTTCCTGACCGAGAGGCCGTTGGATGCTACTTCCAGGTCCCAGGGATTCTTCAAACCATAATTAATTTTTATTTTTTTTTAATTAAATAGGGACTGGTGGGACGGTCCTACGCAACGGCCGATAAACTACTGCTCAGCTTAGCGGCATATAGACTTTAAATGCCTAACCAAACGGTCTACGTATGCTCGCTACAGTCAGTCCTAACAGACGGCCGTCGGCGACCCTACGACCTGGCATAACGGCTGATGAATTCTACTGCCAGACGTAACGGATACGGTATTCTACTGGCAGACCAAAATGCAAAAAATAAAAGTATGGGACTGACGTTTGGTGATTCACGTACCGTCTTGTAAAGACTTGCCAGTTTCCGGCTGTACCTGCGAACGGTACGACCACGACCACAACGTTCGGTTCCCTGTGTCCAAAATTGCTTCGTCTTCCACGATGTAAACTTTGTGTGAAACTGGGTCTGGAAAAAATCATCGGAAAATTGAAATGCTCTTCAATATTATTCTATTCTACTCAGTCAGAAGATTGGAATAAATTATAATTACTAAAACAAATTAATAGCCAAGCAGAGTTATATAAGTTGAATTGCTACTTTGGGTGAATTAAAATAATTTTGTTTGTAGCATCGTGTAAGAAAAACTTATTTTATGAAACAGTTCAATGCAACGAATTCGCAACTGTTCATGAGGAAGTTTCATAGCATGCGCTCATTGCTGCTTACCGACATACTGGCCGTAATCCTCAGGAATATAGAAGATCTGATTTTTCCACATGTTGAGGTCAAATATCATGACCATGAAGATGATGCCGTAGTTGAACCACTTGCCCGTGAACGATAACTTGGCCCAGCGCCAGTGCAGAGTGTGTGTCGAGAAGCCAGGCAAGTTAACGTCCACGGTTGAGGTAAAGTGTGGAAAATCCCAATCTTGCATCACGATCAACAGGTCCATTACTAAGATGAAAGACGCCAGGAAGGCGCGTGAAAGTTCTGCAAGGATGAAAGAGAATGAGTGATGAGAACCATACAAGACAACATAAATAGTACAAACACTACCGCGTTCGCGGCCGAACCCGAAATTGATGGATGTTCACGTCTTTTGTTTTGATCAAACATATAGAGGCTTCAGCGCAAAGTTTGATTTGTGTTTTTCCAAAGCACAAAATGAAACAATTCCCCGAAGATATCAAGCGTCTGGCGGTGTTTTTTATGGGCTGCTGGAGGGTCGATCGAACTGGTAAATGAGCCGCTCTCCCACATGTTTTTTTTCAGTGAAAAAAAAAACCTATTGTGCAAAAGCGATTCTTGAGTTTAACAATAATTAAAATTAATTTAAGAAGTTGATTAGCATGATTGTTTTGGGATATATAGCTCATCATACTTGTAGTTCATGATTAGAAGATGCACACGTACAATAACTAATTTCTTACAACTTTAATTGAAGTAGTTCATTGCAATATCGCAAAGCTACTGATGATCAAAATACCTGGATCATCTTACCAAGACAATTAAAAATGCTAGCCTACATATGGACCCATCGATCGGAAATAATAACTTTATTCTATCACAAGACAAAAATATTTGAGGCATAAAAAAAAGTTTTGCCCCCGTTTCAGATTCATCAGGAGAGCTGTAAAAGTTACTGAATTAATGTTGAAAACATTGAACACTATTTGTTTAAATATTATTGAACACTATTTATTTATTTAAATTTATATGAAATAATTTATGCAATAATAATATATTCAGGAATATTAATGATATTCTGGGCCCACCAGTGGTCTCAACAAATCCTTGATTGAGTTTATCCCAGCTGATGTAGTCAGACACGATGAGGAAGATGACCACTACAGACACGACGATGCTGCCCACCCAGAAGATGAGTATCCGGGGCACGTTTGATAGGTTGTAGAGGCGTCGGAATTTCGTGCCCCAGTGAGGGTAGAGTCTGTCTTGCAACATCATGTCGGTGACCATTAGGGCGGTGACCAGGTCTCCCAGCCATGTGCATGTTGCCGCTGCCTTCATCATGCTGCCGCGATATCGCATCATGAGATTTAGTTAATATGAAAATTGCATAGAAGATTTGAGTTAATTTTTACTAATCAAATTATATTTATATGTTGAAAAGTGTTCAAATCGTTCGTTTAGGTTCAACAATTTCCAAACATTCTGAAGAGTTTAATTAATTTCATTTAGATTAATAGAGATTTTGAGCTCAGCATGTTCAATAAATTACTAGCTTCTTATTCCATATGGATGAATTTTGTTATTTGTTATAACGAAATTTGTTTGGCTGTAATTTGAAGGTATCTACAGGAAATGTATTTAAATTATTCCATTGACTAATTTTTTTTCAATGAATATTGTCCATTCGGAACGTTCTTAATATATTATAATGTCTTCTGAAAACCTGCGTTTCAGTCTACCAGTGCCAGCGAGAAACACCGTTTGACTCATGGAAAAAACCTAACAAGAAAGTTGTTAAGAAAATGCATTACCTGGACTTCATTCAAACTTTCATTGAAAAACAACTTGGAAAAGCTTTAAAAATATTAAGGAGTGTATAATTTTACCAAACAAAGCAAATAAAACTGTACAAAAATTTAGCGCTGTAAATTCATCTCTGTGATTCTTCAGCGCGACGTACTTGTGGCTGAAAGAGATTATGAGATTTCAGCTTCCACATCCGGTACTTCTGAGTTGAGGATTTTGGAATACTAGCACATTTAAAAAAAGTCTTGTCTTAGTAACGCGTTTAGCTCATATCGGTCAGAAAATGCTAACAGAGTAATTTTAATGTAAAATCGTCGTTGATCCTTTTGGTTCTAATTAGGACCATGCAAATTTAATCATCCCTTCGATAATAATTGTTTCATTTTGAACCGCCAATGGAGCTAGATGCCATAGCACACGCAATGAAAATATGGTAATTTTTTGTTGGAAAATTTCTTCGCACTTAAATTTTTGGTTAAACTGCGATCTAAGCAAAAAAAAAAAAATTCACAATTCAGATTATTAATCAATTAATTGCAGCAAGTTTAATTTTCAAATTTTCTAGATCGTCAGTCTCTCATCTATTAGCTCTGTTGTGTACAGTTACATAAACAGACGTCAATTCAATCCGTAGAGAGTATAGAACCCCGGCTTATATATCAACCGCAAACGATCATGAAAGGAGAGCTTGTAAAATATTTGCCGCAAGATAAGCGAAACTTTTTCATGTCCCTAGCAAGCTTCATTTTAGAATTTTGCGGATAATTGAGCTATGATATAGGAGCTGCGTATTCAATTGACAGATTATAAAAATTATAAAAATCAAAGGAACTTAAATTCTACATTATACATAAACTGCAGTAGCGCAGAGGTTCGTTTGAACTTTTAAGCCCAAAAGAACGCAAGAATCTGAGGTTTTAGCTTTGAATGACAACTAATTAGGTTCACCATTGAGGTATGACAGTCAGCTCATGTGACTTAAGAGCCCTCTTAATTAATAGGGTCACGCTGAGCTTCAATATTTGAGAGGCAAACAATGAACAAACCGCTTTTCACGTTTTTTTTTCTTTGAATTATCGTCTCATGCCTGTTACTGTGAATGTGTTAAAAAATTCCTTCACATCTAACACTTGATATAAATGTTCATTTAAGGCCAAGGTCTTACGAAATCATCTGCGAGCAGTCAGACCAAAGCAAAACTTAAATTAATGATGCCATTTTCCACATGTCAATGAGATAAGTTTTAGCTAATCGATTACCGTTGCTGTAGCACGAAAGTACATATATGAATATTTTCTAGAAACAGAGAGAAGGTAAAACTGCTGTATTGAGTCGTAATTTTGGTTGCTGAGGCCCAGAGACCTCTGTTAGTAGTTATTTGTCGCTCCGTAGTAATTACCTATCAGTATAAGATAATCTAGCGAACATCCACACTCCACCTAACTTCTGTTTATTTTAATAGAAATAGAATTGATTAAATAGAATAGTATTGAGTCGTACTTTTGGTTGCTGAGGCCCATGGCCGAGGTGATTTGCCATCTGAAGTGTTGAGGATGGCCGATGAGCAGCAACAAGTTGTACACGTACGAGAACATGTACATGGAGACTATCACTGTCAGAAACATGCACATCCATGACCCCTGAACAGAACACAATTCAATTAGAAAAATATGCCACTGGAATGTACTCAGTTTCGACATTATTGTAATTGTTTCCTTAACAGCCCCCAATAAGTATACGTATGTCCTCTAACATGATTGCAATTTATCAATTAAAGAGATCGTTCATCTATGAACTCATGTTACTGTATCACACAATAATATGATTATTATCCTACATGAAAATATAACCCTAGTCTCAGATTTGATTTCAACCAAAACACTATACATACAAGCCACAATAACGTTATCAGAGGCCAATATACGACCATATGCACCAGCCAATTCAAGCATGGTAAATTTAAATAAATAAATTTTTACGCTATCGATGGAAAAAACAACCTTTGTTGTCAGACGAATAAAATCATTGAAGTTAATATTCGTGCACGTATATAATTCATTAGCTTCACATTATATACAAGGTTGGCTCACTTGCTCATGTCTGAACATCTTAAGTCTGAATATTCTTTTGCAGACAAGCCCGTGGATGAGAACCTTGCCCACGAGCATGCCGCTCATCACAGCCAACACCCACATCACAACCTGCAGGGACAGATCATCACTTACATTCATATGTATTAGAACAATTATTGCTCGATGACTGCATATTTGCACAAATAAATAATAAATTAGATAACTTTCATTGAAGTGTATTAAAAAAATTGGTTGGTGGTTGAAAATTAAGTAAAATAAATAAATATTCAGATAAATTTCCTTGATATGCATTCAACAAAAAAAATGGTGACTGGGAACTTAGACAAATAAGAAGAGTAAAAGTAACCGATGTTAAGGAAAATGTATTGATCTTTTTAGGAATTAAGATTGCTTCACATAATCGGCAAAAATGAAAAGAGAAATAAACCAGAAATCAAAGTGAAAAATAAAAATTTGTTTCAAGTTTATCAGTAATTATCGAATTCAGCCATTGCTACAGTTCGAAATGAGGTGCAGTATGCAGCCGAGGTTGATATTTTACAAGGATAAGACGAGCACTAACTTTGACGAGTTTCCAGTACCACTCCTTAGGGTACTTCGTCGCTACGAAACTAAACACGTTCCCCACCATGTTGATGTTCGACTCTGAAAAAACACATAATTTTAAGTATTAAAATATACAATGATGAGGATATGTGCACTGTCTGTCACATGTTAATTTTCGAACTTATATTTCGATATTCTTCAAATTTGAATTTTCGTGTGGTGTGAACCAGGAAAACGTTCCATTTTTGAATAAGCTTCATGTTATTAAAATGAAGTTTTATAACATTAACTTCACTATTTCGTGATTAAAAACTTGCACATCGAGTTTTTCAGATCACTAAGTTAAGCTAAAATTGGTTTAATAAGACAATTTGTTGGAAAAGATGCAGGATATTTTTGCAATAACTGCAAGACTTGCAGTGGAGGGAGAGGCAGATCGCGCGGTAGCACGAGAAACAAATGGCTATGCGAGTCCCGCGTTAAGCCATTTGCGTTCTTTTGTATGCGCTTAATTCGGTTCCCTGACATCTCATCATATGTGGCATTTCATCATTGACACATTTCATAATAATAACAATTCGTCATTGGACATATCATCGTTATAGCAATGCATTGTTACAGTATTTCATCACCATACTATTTCATCACTAAATCGGGAATCCTAACCTAACCTAACATACATAATAAATGAATTTAATAATTTATGATGAAATGTGACAATGATAAAATTTCTTACATGATGAGATATCAAGCCACCGTTGTTTATGGTTAGTGCTAACGAAAGTTTCAGCGATCGACCAGAGTTTTGTGATGAAGTTGCATCCGGGCGTGCGATGCACGAATTCTTGCCAGAACAATGGGCATTGAACTAGCGCCTCGCTTTTCATTCCTACGTCGGGAATTTGATTAGGAAATTCCTTCCGTGAAGTATTTTTTATGGGCCGTTGGAATACCCGAAATTCTCAAGGACTTCTCTGAATTACTTAGAACTGAAAATTCTACTAACATTTTTCATGGAAGGAGATTTCTTTAATAAACTGATGAAATTCGCAACTGATTCGCAAAGAAATGAAAATCTGATTTAGTAGCGACGAATGCCTTGGGAATATTTCCTGTAAAGAGTCTCGTGCAAAAATGTTTCTTAATCCTCAATGAATAAATGCAATACAAAAGACTGACCTGTGTGGCTATGTGACAGTGGATCTTCAGCGAAGAGGAGGAAGTTGCAGAATATGACTAGGTAAGCCACGAAGAGTCTGAACCATGGATGCTGGAAGTAATATCGCAGATCTTTTTCCATGTAATATTGATTCTGGTAGTAGTGGGCGCTGCGGTCCACACGACTTCTGCCAAATGGTCGTTGTTTGTCGAACGCGCGTCCTGCGTACGCCAGTGCCCTGGCACGGCAAGAAGTCTTGGACGAAGGACATTGCTCATGTCGGTGAACAGGGCAAGGCAGGAAGGAAGACTGGTGAGAGGACGTGCCTTCGTCCTGGTATCTGACATTACCGGCAGGTGAGCTGTCCAAACTGAAGTATCGCTTTAACTTTCCCCTTTTTTCCTTAGTTTCCGGTTTAACGGAAAGTGTAGTCACTTCATCGTCTTTTTCGCGAGCGATTGCACTTTCGGTGCTTGATAAATTAGGATTTCGTTCTGAACACGTATCAGGAATATCTTTCTTTCCAGCCTTAAGTGAGGCCGTAACGGTGTTGGCAGACTTCGCTGAGATGTTGGTAGAGGAGGGAGGAAGGGGTCTGGAGTGAGGAGACAAATGTCCTTTTTCATTTTCTTTAGTCGTCTCAGAAGCTTCTTGATCACCTATCTTGTCTATTTTAATTGAAATTTTGTCCCCAGTTTCTGATGTTGTTGATAGGAAGTTTTCATCATAATGCATAGATCTGATGGAGGTTAATTTTTGCCGTAACCTAGCGAAGAAACCTCTATCGGTGACATCCTTACTCGCCACAGTTTGGCAGTCGTTTTGTTCTTCAGTTTTCAGTTCTTGATAAGCGTTTGTGTCTGCGCTGCAAGGCTCATCTGATTTCTTTGAAAGCTCATGGTGATTTAACGACTTAGTACTGACTGCGTTGCTAGGCAAGTTCCAAGTTACAGATCTCTCGCTGTCCAGAGGTTGGTCCAAACGGACACCTAGTGTTTCTTGGTCTCTATAATAATTATTTATTTTCTCCTTCTGAGACTCGATCAGCAAATCGTCCTTGGAATCTCGTTCACCGTTACGTTCTCTTGGAACACTGTTACTGCTGTGAATGCTGCCGCTACGATGGCTTCCACCGTAACTGCAACTGTCAATGTAAGTGAGTTGAGGCGAAACGCGTCGCCAAAAGTCTGGAGACGCTGACAAGTGGCTTTTAGTGTCCTCTTTGTTATCTAAAACATCTTTTGGTATTGGTACTGTCTCCGAACTTTCATTCGTGTTTTTCGATTTACATAAATTAGAGAAATCTTCATCGAGATCATTATATGAGAGAGGGGCATCAGTGAGCCCAGTTAGGTTACCAAACGCTCGGTCAGAAGACTCGTCATTGGTGAAAGATTGTCGCGGGAAGAAGCAAGGAACAGGTAAGGATCTATCAGGTAACTCATTTGATTGCGGATTGGAAAGCTGGGCAGCACTTGGCAAGTGAGTTTCTGCGGTGTGAGTGATCTTTTTGTGATCACAGGAAGAAGTAAAGGAGCTATGAGGCTCCAGACTAAGACATGGCGTGGGTTCAGGAGTTGATTGACCATCAGGCTGGAAGACCAGGGACAACGGACTGGAAGTGATTAGCTCATTTGCGGCTAGAGTAGCCGTATTTTGAGACAAAGGGTACTCGGGGCTGGAGGTGATCGGGATGAGTTGCTGTCTCTCTGTCTCGTACTTGGACATAATCGAGGCACCAACAACTCCTCCGGTGACCGGACACGGTTTGACCCCATCATTTCTCGCGGTGCAACCCCTTCCCCGCGCTGCCCTCACTCCTGGCCTTATTGTGGTTGGAGGAAGGTCTGGCCTCCTCTTATGTAACCGACCGAGCTTTTTCTTTCATCGTCGTATGAAATCTGCGACAGTAACTCATTAGTTTACTGTTTTTTTATTTAAAAGTGTCAATCACGCGCGTAATTATACGAATCCCAATATCATCAATTTATTATTTTCTCATATTAATTTTAAAGGAAAACAATAGAATGAAGTTAATGTAATGTCGTCAAAGTAAAAATTTGATGTCATCAGTCATGCTTTACTACTTGGGGTCTTGAATATCATCCACAACGATCAGTATAGGCAGACAATGATGACATTTTCAAGATGCTTAAAGACGAGATTATTCTTATTGTTAGGAGGCAAAATATAGTACGCAATATGTATTGAAAGGTACGCGGTATAAACCTTATAAACAACATGTGATAAAATGTTTTCCATCGCCCACCTTCATTGAAATGAAAATAGGGAAGACACTTCAGATATCTGCCAAGCGATGAGGTCGGATGACAGTTTGGTGCTCATGCTGGACAGGGAAATCTGATAACAGCTCTTCAATGGATGAAGAACAAGTTGTTAAACTTTGATCAGGTAAAATTTTTCTGTAACAAAAATTAGATAATTGAATTTAATGATAGGATTCTAAAACTTATTTCCTTCTGTATATACAATAAAATAAAAAAATATAACTCAGTACTTACTGCAGTGAGTGACAGAGAGCGCATTTTTTCGTCGACGAAAACGTAAAGTCACGGACGGACGGACGGACATACGGACTCGGGACATGACGGGCACAATAGTGTTTTTTTCAGAAATGAGAAAATGCGCAAAAAAGATAACTCAGTACTCACTGCAGTGAGTGACAGAGAGCGCATTTTTTCGTCGACGAAAACGTAAAGTCACGGACGGACGGACGGACATACGGACTCGGGACATGACGGGCACAATAGTGTTTTTTTCAGAAATGAGAAAATGCGCAAAAAAGATAACTCAGTACTCACTGCAGTGAGTGACAGAGAGAGCATTTTCTCGTCGACGAAAACTTGAGGTCACGGACAGACGGACGGACAGACAGACGGACATGGCGAGCACAATAGTACATTTTTTCCACAAATGAGGAAATGCGCTAAAAAGAAGGAAAATACATTTTCATTAAAACATCGAACATGAAAATCCTTTGAACTGCAGGAAACAGCAAAATGACAAAAAACTAGCGTTCATCGATAAGTTTTAATCGGATAAGTCCTACTAATTACTGAAGAAAACTGCTGTGCAATAGAATAAACTACGAAAATACCACCATATGAAAACAATTTCCAGAATATTCTCATTTTCTTCAAAAATTGTACTACTAATATTCCAAAAATGATTTTTTGAATGACGCCATTTAATAAGTATAATAAATAATACTCCCAAGCTTTAACAAAAAAATGCTTCATTATTTGGATACGATACTTGCACGTCGTTGCAACGGTAGGTGATCGGAATGAGGAAGTTTTTGGGAGGCGACGCAGCTAACGCTCTTATTGACGCCGATGGATCTTAGTGTGGTTGCTGAACAGACATGTAGGCGAAGAATGCTGTAAGCAGGGGACGTATTATTGAAATTCGCTCAAGTACACGTAGCAGCCTAAGTACACGTAGCAGCCTAAGTACACGTAGCAGCCTAAGTACACGTAGCAGCCTAAGTACACGTAGCAGCCAAAGTACACGTAGCAGCCAAAGTACACGTAGCAGCCAAAGTACACGTAGCAGCCAAAGTATACGTAGCAGCCTAAGTACACGTAGCAGCCAAAGTATACGTAGCAGCCTAAGTACACGTAGCGGCCGATATCTCGTCTATGATTGATGGGTTCAGCTTGAACACCCGTCAGTGATTGGCTGACAATTACAATATTTTTGATCCACGGTTCAAGTTTTAAGCTGAGCGAGAATGCGGAGTGCTGCTTTGAGGGTTGTTGAGTGGGGAGGAAGCAATTATGAGGATCGTGCTGGTGCAACTTCACTTCGTGATACGCTGCATTATTTGTAATCAGCTCACAATCGGCCGGTGACGCCTTATTCTAAATCACGTATATATGACTACATGTTAGTGGCGGCAAAAATTAAGATAAATGAAATAAGAGAACGCAGGTAAAAAAATTTTTTTTTCATGCATCATTACATTTGCAACTAATCGAGATCCCCAATCATTCGTCAATTTCGATAGCATTTTTTCTTCAACTACCGTAAGAATTATAATGAGAAAGGTTTTAATGATTTTCTTCTATTAATGCGCTCATTCACAGCTGATAGGGCTTCGTAAATTATCTGAATTGAAAAAAATTTTGTCTCCCACTTTTTAATGACAAATGAAAAAATGCAATAATTCTACAACACATTCAACGAACATAGAATATGATTATTTTCTGTGGTATACAAGTTTGTATGATTGTGTGTAAACACAAAATACGATGGTTGTGTGTAGTAACGATGGTTTATAAGTAACTCGTTATACAGAAGAAGCCAAACAGATGCAGCGCTTACCAGTCACTCTAACATCCTCTCTTGCAGCAACAAATGACAGAAAATCGAATTCCTTTATCTTGGTTACTATTTCTTCTGCTCTAAGCTTTGTACGCTCCTTTGTCGTGTTTTGAAAGAAAAATGGACAAGTTCAAATGCACGGCATCCGAGAATAGCCAATTTTTGGGAACTTTATTTGAACAAGAATTTTTAAAATCACGAAGACTTGTATACATATTTGATAAAATTATGTTTTTGGAAGCTAAAACGATAGCTGTATTGCTCATTTGAACTTTGTAGCTGAATTACCTTCGGCCGATTACCACCCATTCTGTGGGTGATTATATTCCTGGTCAAAACCAGGAATATAATCATCCTGGTCACGAATTAAAACTGAGATAAGTGGTTTCGAATACTGACATCAACATGTTTGAAATTTCTAGTCTATGGAATTATTTGAAATCAAATTAATCTGAATTTCATCATGTTCTAAATTGTTATTTGTTAATGTTAAATGATTAAAAATTTGTTTTAGCAGAAGTGTCTGCCTATCATAGCGGCTTAGCCATTCCAGCGACACTTCCATGTTAGAATGGACGAGAAAACTTCCCGTGCCTCAGCTGGAATTTCGTAACTTAGGTCCTTTAATTTTATCGAATGTGGCTAGATTAAATTCACGAATGTACCTAAATATTACTCTGGGTAAGTGAAATGACGCGTGAGGCATAAAGCTACACATTATGCAGGTTTGTTTTGTTGCGCTGAGAGAAGTGTAAGGCGTCGCGACGATGCACAATACTTATTGCCTATCTCTTTTGCTTAGATTAAAAATGGATTCAAGCTGTTAATCAAAGTACTCGAATATGCAACGTAGTTTTCAGAAGCCCCGTGAATGTGATATCTTAAGGGTTAGGTAACTGTAAAATTTAAAATCAGGGACGGGAAGTTGCGACATATGGAAGTTGTGGTGCGGCCAGTTGTTAGAAATTAAGTAAATATTACAGCAGTAACGGAATGGAATGATGATGTTATCGCATCGCATACACATGATCATGTAAGAACTTTTTCGGAAATGAAACGGTGTCATGCGAGCCAATATCAAAGAGAATCTTGTATTAACGAAAGTCTTCCCAGAATATTCAACAAAAAGACCAATCAGTAACTGGATTGTCAGGTCTTGATTGAACGGAAATTTTTATGTCTGTCCCACAGATTAGAAAAATTGTTGTTTTGGAATTTGGAAAAATACTGGAGAGTTTCAAACTTTTTCAAGAAGAAAACGCCAAAGCTCGCTGTTAAAAGCAAACTCTCTCATTACGTCTAGGCTGACGCTCTGAAGCCACAGTTTATTTTTATACATACGGTACTCGTATACCTGCGAAAGTGCGATTGGAGGAAATAGTCTGTTGGTATCTGAATAAACTGTTTATGCCGGCTAAGAATCGACTGTCCACTATTTCTTGTTGGTAGTGCTGATATACTTGCCTATAATTACGAATATTTATGGATTTAATAGATTTCATCGATTTCTTTCTTTTCCTACACAGAACCTCGTATTATAGTACTGTCCTCTACGAATTACTGAATCGATAAGAAAATTCTTTATAGTCGATATAGTGGGCATGGCCACGACAATTTCTAAGAGTTCAATAATGATAAATTAATGTAGTGTTTGAGTCGGATTTAGACTTTGACAGCTTGTGAATCGAGAGCTGAAACTGGGTTATTAAAATTGGTAAAACATGCATATATAACGCTTGTATTAACGTTCAAGGCGTGGTTTCGTTAAGATCTCAAAGACGTGAGGTTGAAACACTTGGTCAGCCGGAATTACCTAAAGCTTAGCAAAAGGTTAATGAGTTACTTAATGAGATGAACGAGGTGATCAGATGAGTTGCAAATCGTTAATGAGGTTCATGAAGTTTATGATAAGATGTACATATGGAGACATGGGTCCAGGTAGAATTAATTGGTCAGATGTGCGAGAGATCAGATGTGAGACAGGATAAACTTCTGATAACGATGTCTTGGCCATTTAGGACGATTTGTACGACTTATATGATTAATATGACAATTTATATAACTTATGCTCACAAGGCTTGCCTGTATGGCACGTCATGCTGATTAGTGGACTGCTGATGTATCGTGTTTACATTAAAAAACTCGAATTCGTTTCATGCATAGAAACTGAAAGATTTGCACCTTAACAGCTTCTAGGCAAACTGGAAAACTTAAAATTAAATATTTATGATACGGTACTAAGAAATAATGAAATCAATCCTGAATTGTACTGATATTGTATTCATTTTGTGAAATTTGAATATTATTTGACTGACTGGGTAATCATTCCCTTGCCTTAATGATTAGTATTTACGGGCAAAGGCATAAATGCTGAAAAAAAACACAAATTCTAAAAATTTCCATGAAATTGTCATTATTGAACTGATAACGATGCTTTCCTCATCGTATCAATTACTATTGGTAAACTTTTATGGATACGCAACTGGTGTTGCCGCAATGATCGGCCAAACAGCAAGGAAAAGTCCTTTTCCATTAAAGTATTAACAAGTCGAATATGTGGGGTTTAATGTGTTTGCATGTAAGTGCAACGTAAACAGGTTGGAGGTTTAAATGTGGCTGATTAAAACTGAGTCACATATATCATGCAAAATTTATTATATTGAGAGTCAATGCAATGTATAATGCAGTATACTCGAGTCACACAAAACTATGATATATTTTTCATTGTTTTAGGTCAGTTTGATTCAGTAGAGAACCGCAATGCTGGTATAATATGCAATTAGAGTTTCAAAGTGAAGTATGGAGCTAAAACCTGGAGCCGAGCAGGGCAAGGCGAAGTAATACCTCGCTTCTAAGTGGCTTGAGTCACGCAACGAGCGCGTCCTTTAATATGTGTCTCGGTCAGTAAAGAAGCACACACCATTAATATGTCTTCTTTATGACCAAGCTGTGCAAGCTACGCAGCACCTGAATATCATTATTGTATGACTAATCCAATAACAAAAGGCGTATATTATACACACATGATACCAGCTGACTAATATTGACAGCTGTGAGCTCGGACTAGGATAATATGCATATTGAATGATGAATTTTATTGTATACGGGTTCCGTAAATTTAATTGAGTTCATAAGACCAACACCGCACAATTACGTTATTTGTGTTAAGATCAACACATACCTCATTAACGGCAAAAATTATTCATCAACTCATGTGACTTGGATTTGCTTGATTCAACTATCAAGTTGAAAAATGGCAAGGTTAAAAAATATTGAGGCTACACGATCGGGCTGTCGTAAGATCAAGAAGCTTTGAATTCTCGTGGTTGCAAATACGATCCGCGAGTTAAATACATTCTCTTGTCATAACAATCTATACGTAACATTTGTTGCCGAGTAATGAATTGAACATGTAGACCTATTGAATACACACAGATTTTATGGGGTAACTTTACTGCTGCCGTGGGGTAACTTCACTATACATCACGTCACAAGACTCATCAGAGTCACACGTCACAAGACTCATCAGAGTCACACGTCACAAGACTCATCAGAGTCACACGTCGCAAGACTCATCAGAGTCACACGTCACAAGACTCATCAGAGTCACACGTCACAAGACTCATCAGAGTCACACGTCACAAGACTCATCAGAGTCACGTCACAAGACTCATCAGAGTCACACGTCACAAGACTCATCAGAGTCACACGTCACAAGACTCATCAGAGTCACGTAACAAGACTCATCAGAGTCAAGTCACAAGACTATTGGATCTAAATATCATTAACTATATTCTCTGTTCATATTTAGCAGATACAGTAGAACCGATTAATGCATGTTACCAGGCTGGAACCCGCTGGATCAATTCTCATTGTTTGAACCACCATTCTTAGAATTCCACGCAGTAAATTAACAAAGACTTACGCGTCTTAAATAATTACCGATAGTGAATGAGGTAAGAAACTTTAAGTTTAAAGTAATTTAATACTTGCGTAAATAAGTAAGTGTCTGCTAAAGATCACAGTTTCTTTCTCATTCGTGATTCGAAAAAAACAGCTGAATTGACTTTCTTCGATGTGGAATGTCATGAATAGGAAATTTTGTTGACATTAATTTAATCATGCAAACGAAGATGAGATAATTGCATGCCTTCTCTAGAGAAATGTTTCTTGCATTAGGTAATTATGTTTCAAGCATGTATTTATATAAATAATCACGATTTATGAAATAAGAATAGAAGAGTATTGTTTAGTTACAAATTTAAGTATTTCAACGTGATCTGGAATTGTTTAATTAATGTTTGCGGAGTTTTGAGCTTGGTTTATATTTAATTGACCTTATTTAATGCTGGGTCTAAATGATTTAGAAAGACACAAAAGCAGCAACAATTGACGGCTCGGCTAGACCCCTAACTCTACGGAAATTGAGCCTAACCAAATACCAAAATACGTTATACATAATTCGAAATCGCTCTTTCTCTCTAGTATCTCTTGTACATAACCTAGAGTTTCACACTTTCGTTCCAGGAGCATCATTACGAGAGGAATACTTTGATGAATACCGTAAGAACACTGGCACATTAACCACCCTACACGACCGTCATATAGACACTGGCGGCCAGAAGGGCCAGGGTACTGGTCCAGTATGAAGAAGTCGAGAATTTACTCATTGCTGGAATATTCGCCAGTCGAAGGACTGTTAGTCGTGTAGATTACTTTTCGTTAAAGTTTGACTTTTAAAAGGTGGTGTCTTTTTTTATTTTATCTTTTAAAAGGTGGTGTTTTGGCCAATATAATTATGAAATGCATTAAAAAATTTTTAAATTATCTTATCACGGATTCCTGTGACTAGCAAGCAGACAGATGATTACAAGGCTAATTTATTAACTACTTTATATGAATGAAGCATGGAGCTGATGACAAATTTATTTGTCTTATTCAGCACCATTATTTTACTGCAATCTAATTTAATGTTATAGAAATTCTTGAAATAAAATTACGAATAATGATATTATTTCTATTCGCATATTGGATGAAATGCGTTGTTACAGTCATGTCCCTTGAACTTAAAATCTATTTTAACTTATGGTTGATTGGTACTTATATACTGTTGATAATTTTATGCTGACAATTGCATTTTTATTCTTTAATTGAAATACATTTATAAGCACTTCTATTCTGTAGTAAAAATTATTATAAAACGTAAGAGAATTAAAAAATTATCAGTTTTTAGGAGCGAGCGTAAACAGTAAATGATTGGTATTGTTTTAAGCATTAAATCTAATGCAGTACAAATGATCAAGATTTTGGGCACCAAGTGCTTGCTTTTGAAAATGCGTCTGTCGTTGATCCTGAACCTATATCATAAAGTGGTGATTTTTTATACTATGTCGGTTAATTGCAAAATATTCCGGCATGGAACAGAGATTAGGCTTAAATATTTTTTAGGTCTAAATTTAACATCCCTCGAAGCCGGATCGTTGATCCGGATCAACGATCTGCCCGATAAATTTCACTAAATAAATTTCTAGAATATGATTATCCTTCACAATAAAAAAGTAAGTTAAATGTTATCACAGCATAACTTTTAACACAGCATAACATAACAATTAACTCTTTTACAATCGGTATTCGCCGGTATAGGTAGTCAGGAAAAAAGTGAATCATGGCATTCAAAGCAGCTATCTTATTGCTGTCATCTTCCAATACAAGTCATTGATTTATATTTATCAAACGAAAAAAAACATATGTGCGGAAAAGTTGCATGCACGCGAGCCCTCATAGGCTGTCTACCACCCGGACGTATATTGATCGACGCGCTCACAGCTCGTCGCGCACCTAGACTGCAAACTCGACTTGTACGCACGACTCCGCCACCAGGGGGATCTCTGATTTTATTAGTGTAGTTGACAAACTTGTTTCCATAAAATAATGACTTATCTACTTATGTTCATGTAAAATATTACAAACTATTGTTCGAAAGAGGTCAAACACATGAGCCACAATGAAAGAGGATTGTGAATCCCTAAGTATCTTTCCGTTCTGGGAATGGCAGTCTTCTGGAACTCTCATTTCATTTACGGTTTAATTTCATTCACGAATTTCACGAAGAAATGATCAATAAAGCCGAAGATTTTTATTTATGTAAATAGATGTCTGCATTGTTTTATTTTTGATGCCTAATGAACTTCTTCTAGAGTGTGCGAAGTTCTTCGACCCAAAAAACTCAATAACCTCTAATGTGATTTTATTTATTCGGGATGTCATGCTCCCTGTAAGTGTTGAATAACATCATACATCGATTTCACTGTTGTTTCGTAGCTATGTAAATAACATAGTCAACAACATAGCTATGTAAACAAAAAAATAAACAACATATCTATGTAAATAATTTAGGTAGACAACAGAGTAAACAAAATAACCATGAAAACAACAAAGCTAGCAACATGGTTAGGTAAACAAAATACCATCATGATCACGTGAACTCTTCCGCCTTGTATAATAAATTTTGCCGTGATTAAACCAGTAAAATATCAAAAGTAAATCAGGGCTTCATCTCGTAGCTCCTCAAGGATTTTCACTTTCTTATATTCTTGGCGATCATTGAGAACTGATAATTAATTGTTCATTCTTATTCATTCATGTTAATTCCTCTTCACGAAACGCACGTGTTCCCCCTGAGTTCATCAGCTTGGGTCCAGAAACTTAATAAAAAAATATAACTCAGTACTCACTGCAGTGAGTGACAGAGAGCGCATTTTCTCGTCGACGAAAACGTGAAGTCACGGACGGACAGACAGACGGACAGACGGACATGGCGATCACAATAGTGCATTTTTTTCATATATGAGAAAATGCGCTAAAAACTCGCTCGTACATAGCAAAAGTTTACCTATGTAGGACAAAAGCCTGCTCCTAATGCTCTAGTATTGTTCTCCGTAAGTCCGGCGCGGCCGGCGCCACGTTGCCGGCGGCGGCGTCGGCGCCAGACACGGCGATCTCTTTGCCAAAATAAAGAACGCGGCTGGGGCGGAGGGGGGGGGATGGGAGGTGTTGGAGGTGGGGGAGGGGTGTGGGTGGCGGGCATTTAGTAACCTAGATACGCCTACGCTCGCGTGACTGATGAATAATATCGTTGAATTGCAATATTATCAGACATACCTATAACACGAATAATGTTGAGGAAGTGCAATATCATCGTGGCAATACTATGTATTATGATGAAGAATTGCAACATTATTTGCCGTATGGTTGCAGATTTAGACAGAGTTTTAACCCAACTCCCTCCAAAACCAATGACAATGTCTGCTATTAAAATAACATTAAAAAATAAAATGGTTAAAGTGCAAGCTGCAATCTTTTGTTGATTATTTGCGACTATTTAGCCTCATAGTTGATCGACGTATATTCTAATACAAATAAATAAATAAATTTTTTGGGGCAAAGTGCAATTTTTTGTTTATTATCTTAACTTGCGATCTATTCGGGAAAATTTGTCCGAAATTGTACTTCCCAAGAACGTGGAAAACGTACGTAAAATGCACTTGGATCGCACACTTTATTGTGCGCAATATAATAGTGACCAATTTGTGTTTTTATAGGAAATGTGCGTGATGATAATTAACCGATAACTCAAAGTAATCAAACGATAACTCATGGTAATGTTCAAATTGTGATGCATTTTGATAGAGGTGACCATATTGAAATTAAAATCTTTGAAAATTTTTTCATGCATACTGCTGGAAAAAATAGAAATACTGCTGGAAATTGTGTATTGATTCCATTACTCAAAATATATGCGACCACATCGATCACTCGAGTCAAAAAAAGCATGATGCGAGTGATGCAAACCACGGTTCATGCAAGACTCGCGCCCCAGGCCCGAGTTTCCCACGCATGAATCAATACACCTCAGTATTTATGCACACAATCCTTGAACTTCACGAGATAGCTAAAGGGTTGGCGATAAGCTAACAGGTTATCGGGCTATCAGGGCAAGCTTTGCATCATTGGCTGCTGCTTCTGCAGTATAGCACCGCTGGAGCTGCGTGTCAGCCTTCATTAAACGTAAGCTCTTGACAATATCTCGCGCTGAATAATTTTCGAACCTAAATCATTCCCAATTTTTTGATCCACAAAGTTAAGAAGTAGTTTCATATTCACACAATCAATTTCGGAGGGGAAGAGTTTATTGTTCAGCAGAAATTTCATACTTGACGCCGTGTAGCTGCTATCAGATATAGGAAAAAAATGAATGCAGCTAATATTCATTATTATTTTTATAATCACAAAATTATCTACCTTTTCTCAAGAATGCTAGATAAAGTTATCCCTGTGATGAATACTACTGAATTGAATTCTAAAAAATAAAATAAACGCCATAGTAATTATTTTTTGTTATCGCAGAATTTATCATCATTGATAACACTAATATAATATATGTTACCGGCAACCAATGGGTCAAGTTAATAGCTCACGTGTGCACTCAATTATATATATATTTCCACGAAGAAAACGATCAAACTTGTTGAAGATTATTAAAGCATAAAAATCAATAAACAAAGGAGATATTTAAATGGAATTCGGTGAATGGGTCAAGTACGTTCGCCTGATGTTGTGGAAAGAATTTATATACTCGTAAAATTAAGGGTACTCTTTCAAGGTAAGAACGCGCATAGCATCTGCATGGAGACAGATCTCAAGATAGTGAGTCTGATAATGATCCTGATGGAGGATTAGTGTGTTGGAGGGTGATAGTGAGACGGATAATGAGCGTGAAAGATGATTAGTGTTTTGGAGGGTGATAGTGAGTCGGATAATGAGCGTGAAAGATGATTAGTGTGTTACAGGGTGATAGTGAGACGGATAATGAGCGTGAAGGATGATTAGTGTTTTGGAGGGTGATAGTGAGTCTGATCATGAGCGTGAAGGATGATTAGTGTGTTGGAGGGTGATAGTGAGTCTGATGATTAGCATGATTAGCATGAATTACAAGCTAATATGAAATATTAGCTTGTAATTGACCATTATATAGACAAAGCCTAAAATTGCCTCGTGGGAGAGACAGAGACAATGAAGTGTATTCGATAATAGAAAAAAATTGGTGTGCTTTGAAATCTCTTTAAACAGATACGTTTTCATTTGTAATGATGTGATCAAAATTGGAACCTAATGTGACATGTAAGCCAACTGTTCCATGAAGTCATGATCTTAAAACATTGATTCTCCTGATCTGAAAACTTCCAAAACATTAAGAATAATTTTAAAAAGCACGCTGGAATAGAATTACTTGCATTGAAATAATTATATGGTTTGTCTCATTAAGAGACGAAGTAAACGCACGATAGAATTAATTGCAGGGCCGGTAGTCTATATCAAAGAATTCCCTTAGTTTAAATCATAAATTCTTCACAAAATATAAGAATGAAGAAGAAAAAGCACAAATGCTACATGACCAAAAATGCTACACGACCGGACGTAGCCGATTTGCATATTCCAATGTCTAATAATTAAATCAAATATTGAATAAATTCAATGGAAACTTAATATAATATGATAAATGTATAATATAATATAATATAATATAATATGATATAATATAATATAATATGATATAATATAATATAATATAATATAATATAATATAATATAATATATTAATATATAATAATATAATATAATAAATCGATGTGTTGTGCTACCAGATGTCGTCTTTCCCCCCTGGTCGACTGGCGGGCAAGCGGTGCGTGGTGACCGGCGCCGCGCAAGGTAGGGCAGCAATAATGAACAATTATAACTTTGATCTATATACTCTTCGTAGATTTATATAACAGTGGGCATAAAGAATTTGATATTACGATCATAACGTTGATATACTCTTCGTAGATTTATATAACAATGGGCATAAAAAATTTGATATTACGATCATATCGTTGATCTACTCTTCGTGAATTCGTAATCATCGTGCATAAAAAAATTTGATTTTATTAAAATTCGTTTATGTCTGTGTTACCTACGTACATGGAGCTTACGGATTTTTTGTTTGCAATAAGTTTGTGAGCTCAAAGTAATGATTATTAGACAAAATTTTGCTTAAATTTTAGTAAACGTCCACTTTTGAGTAAAAACATGTTGATGATTTAAATGAACAATTTTTGACAGCACCTTCTGAAATGTCTTACATTACCGATGGAATTTTATGATGCATTACAAAAATAAAACAAAATGCTATAAATTACTTCAAACGTTCGAATCTAATTCGGTCACTTTGATTCGATTTGCTACTATATGTGCTACGAAATCTATTTCAACACTAAGGGAAGTCGAAACTCTCCTATTATAGTTGATTTTTTTTTTGTGTTAACCTAATCAGAAAAAATTAATAGTAAATAAGTTACATTGTGTACAAGACAATTTATTCACAAATAACTAGCATCTAGCCATAGTTACGCAGCAATATTGAAGTGTGTCATGCATGACAGGCATAGCTCTGGCGGCGACCAAAGCCTTCCTCCGCGAGGGTGCTCAAGTGATGGCCGTAGATGTCAACAAAGACAAACTGGACGCGATGTCTGATGCTCCAGGTACGTTTGATGACTGAACATACTAGTATCACAAGTCTCATAGACCATGCACTATGCCAGTCTCACAAGTGTTATAGACCATGCACCATGCCAGTCTCACAAGTCTTATAGACCATGCACCATGCCAGTCTCACAAGTCTCATATACCATGCACTATGCCAGTCTCACAAGTCTTATAGACCATGCACCAAGCTAGTCTCTTAAGTCTCATAGACCACGCACCATGCCAGTCTCACTAGTCTCATGGACGATGGGCAATGCCAGACTCGAAAGTTTAAAAGATCATGTGCAGCGCCAGTCTCAAAAGTCTCATTATAGACAATAGGCCATGTCAGTCTCACAAGTCATTTTATTCCATTGAACTTTTGGAGTGCGATTAATCATCAAAGGAATACCGTGAGATTAATCATTAAAGGATTAACTCGAATAAGATTTCGTTCTCTCATAAATCCTGAACACTTTCATATGTCAGTGCTAGCGAAGCATTCATGCATCAATGTTAAATTAGTCAAAAGAATACCTAGATTTGAGCACATTAAATACTTTATGTCGTTACACTTTGTCTGTATTAGAGAATTAACTTCAATTGAAGTAGAAATTTCCAAAATCATACATGGAATTTGTTGTCAGTTTACCTTGACTTCATAAATATAGTTTAAAAATATAGAGCTATTGGTAGTTTATAATTCAGATTAGTTTGATGCGGCAGTACAGCAAACAATGACGTGAGCATAATAATTTCCATGCAAAAATTTCAGGCGTTATAAATGAATATTTAGTTTATTTGTTGGGCATGATTGGACAAATTAAAGGATTGCACAAATGGCAGGATTACAAGCCAGCCAATGATTGGTAGTTATTTGGATAAAAAAATTTCTTATATAAAGCCGCTTATAAAAGAGGATTGTATTGTCTTACTAGTTTTTATGAGTATTATTGTGGAAAGATTCGATGTGAACAACAGGCTTGACCAGACGAGTGCTGGACGTTCGGGACAGAGAAGGCGTCATGAAACTGGCCCAGGATTATCAGGGTGTGAACGTGCTCTTCAACTGTGCCGGGTATATACAATAACAGTTATTTTAATGAAGATGTAGAGTAACGCAGTTTCCTTAAATGCCTCCTATGAATATTCATGATGTTTTTACCAATTTAAACGATATTTTTAATTGCCTTCTGTACAAAAATTACGCTAAGTATGAACGTAAAAACCATGTAAATGTTTAGGTACGTTCACATCGGAACAATAATGGAATCTTCACTGGAAGACTGGGAGAAGAGCTTCGACGTGAACGTGACGTCGATGCTTCACTTCATTCATGCCTTCGTGCCTCAGGTGCGTATCTCTTCCTTATATGGTAATCTCGAGACTTAATTTATCAGGTACGACAAGAACGTTCATTTCACAGCAGCGTCTCGAACGTTCATTTCACAGCAGCGTCTCGATCGTTCATTTCGTTTTCATTGCTGATTCCTCAATTTGTTATTGTGCTCACTTTCCTGTTATGAATTTTACGCCTAAAACTTCGCTCGTAATTATTAAAAATATGGGTTTGAAGAAACCATGAAGTTATTTTGCAGCTTTAATGAGAAGTTAATTATTAGCACGCACACTAATTCAGATCCAGATTCCAATTGTTACTTGTAATAAAATAATCTTTAATTAGCGTGGAAGTTACCCGACAGTTTGCATGGATTTTTGTGACAATGAAATTCATCCCTTTTTGGTACTTAAATAAAAAATCATTTTTGATTTACTGGGAAGTTACAGTTTACATGGATTTTTGTGACCCATTTTTCCATCCTATTTTCATTCCTCCCCCCAGATGAGGGCAGCGGGGGGAGGCAGTGTGATCAACATGGCGAGCGTGGTCTCCCATTTGGGTGCTGTCCCCCAGCGAGGGGTTTACGGGGCCACAAAGGCAGCTGTCGTGGGCCTCACTAAAGGTTTGGCCACTGAGGAAATTAGAAACAATATCAGGTGAATCGCCACGTCTATATATTATATATATCATGATTACATAATGTCGCTGAAATTGAAAAGTATTGTAAAAAATTCTATTTCGATTGAATTAGCATACAAAAATTTAATATTCTAATTGTATTCATGCAATCTTGCTGCGCTTACTGCATGATGTTGAATCAGTGAGTGCCATATAATTTATGCTAGTACGAGTAAATACGATAATCTGAGTTCATTTAAGAATGGCATGTTAATTTTTCATGTACACACAAATGATTGGCGTATATTACAAAGCTCTATAGCTATGGTAACCGAGGCAAGCATGCGAGTATTTTTACAATACTTCATAGATCACCGTGTCTGTGCACTTATCCCCAATTGAACAAATACGACAAAAATACGACAAATCCACACAAATACGCCAAAAATACGATAAATCTACATAAATACGATAAAAATACGATAAATATACACAAATATGATAAAAATACGGTGAATTTACACAAAAACGACAAAAAGAATAACAGGGAATTGTTCCACGGCAGAGTGAACGCCGTGTGCCCGGGGCCTGTGGCGACCGAAGCTTTCCAAGACCGCGCGGGCAGCGAGGAGAACGTCGACACGGTGAGTTCTGAGAGGTCACGGCTTGCGGCAGTTAATCATGCACGGGTATATAAATAAGATGAAATGATGAATAGTGGTGATTAACATGAAGTTTAATAGACAGCGTAGCTATGTACGCTCCGTGATTCTGGTTCAGATTTATTTCTTCAATTGAATCTAATTCATTATTTCGAGTTGTTCGTATTATGAAAATTCGATTATGAAACAATTTATGCCGAGCCATGTTGAGAGCTGTTTACAGAAGCCCATGCCAAAATAACAACAGAAAAAAGGAGTCCACGACGAAGAAACTCAAGCGAAAATAATTGGGATCAATAGATACCAATGTAATCAGCAACATCTCTTCAAACAACCGAGCAGATTACTATTATGGGAACCTGAGTCTCACGTTGCCTTTATTTCTGTCCTGCGGTAACATTCTAATTTCAGTGGGTTCTTACATCGTTATTCTGCTTAAACCACAAGTTCACCAATAATTTAAAAGCTAAGAACACGCCAAATAAATTCACCACATCTTCACGGAAAAGTTTCGGAGACCAACTCCAGTTAGGCTCTGGGTGTGCAGATGCAGACGCGCATCCATCCTGCAGTTCTCGGCGGTCCCACAGTGAATCTGGTGCGTGCGATGCAATCACGAGAAAATCTGAAGCTTCGGCGGAGAAGTATTATTTTGTCTAAATAATAATGGAGGAGAAGCCACGTATGTTTAGTTAGTGATCATTACCTTATGACCGTATGATGAGTTTAGGCCTTCTCAGTCCATTGTCAAGCTGATGCTCCGCCTTCGCTCATGTTATCGATGCTCCAATCAGGCGGCTATCGAGAACTCCAGAGTGGTGTTGTTCAATGTTACATTAGGAGGTGGATTCATGCTTCATCCAATCTGGTTTTTTTGAAATCAGATAAAAACATTTATATATTGTACCACCGTCACAAAATAAATAAATAAAACGTTGATCAAAACTTCAGAGATGAAATAAATTTGGTGTTTCCTCGGAATGACTGCCAATAATTCAAGTCTAAAATCATGTGGAAGAAATTTTAAAGTCAATCTTCATTACGGTTCGAAATTCAATTAGTCAATTTCCAATGTTAATTATCACAAATTCCAGATTATCGTCCGTAGTGCGATAGTGATAAAAACTCGTAGACCTTTATTCTCTGATTCTTTACAGTAGAGTGATTTCTTTTTACGAATGTTTCTTCGGCACAAAAGATTAGATTTAATATGATTTTTGATATTTCGCCCCGTAATTTTCAAGGTTATACTCTTTTCAGGCACCATTAACTTCTTTCTTATCATCGTAAGAATACGATTGCTATAAGTAGAATAGTAAAGTCCCAACGCAATTTTGTGAGTGTCATCTCAGAGAATTAATTTAATTTACGTCTAGAGAATGAATAAAACCATTTTTTAAATTAAACGCTCTTTTCGTTGCAATCTCTTCATAAAACAAATCTATTCTTGTTTTAAATTTTCTTCTATGTTTTATACTCGCTTCATGTTTTAAATTAATTTCTTTTTGAAATCTTTTATTGTTTTGCACTCTCTTCTTGTTTTACACTCTATTCATGTTTACACTCTTTTCTTGTTTTAAATTCTTTTCCTGTCTTAAATAGCCTTATTGTTTTACAATCTCTATTTGTTTTAAACTCCCTTATTGTTTTACTCTCTCTTCTTGTTTTAAATTCTTTTCTTGTTTTAAATTGACTTATTGTGTTACACTATCTATTTGTTTCAAACTCCATTATTGTTTTACACTCTCTTCTTGTTTTAAATTCTTTACATATTTTAAATTGACTATTGTTTTACAATATCTATTTGTTTCAAACTCACTTATTGTTTTACACTCTCTTATTGTTTTACAATCTCTATTTGTTTTAAACTCCCTTATCGTTTCACACTCTCTTCTTATTTTGCCTTCTCTTCATATTTTAAAAGAAATGTTTCGTTCACACAGGAGGTAAGGAAGAAGGTGTGTGAGCGACTGCTTGGAAGACTGCCGACCGCGGAGGAGCTCACAGGGCTGCTGGTCTACCTCGCTTCTGATGAGGCGAGTCTTCCTGTGATAAACTATTTCCTCCTAATTAGCTTGAAAACACTCAATTAGTTTCTTTCAAGCAGATATTATTATTTATTTTATTAATAAAATTGCAAGATTTGTTGGCTTTACTGGGTCTGGCTGTAGCTTTAACTCTAGTTTTTATTGGTCCTGGTTCAGGTTCTGGATGAGTTTTTATTTATTTTTGTAATAGTGTCGTTCGACGGCCTTACCATTTAAGAATCTTTTGTGTTCATTATAGTTAGTGACGGAGTCTGATACTTTATACCAGCAATAATTTATAATTAGTAACAAAAATAATCAATAAAAATAATTATAGCATTAAGAATAATTAATAATACATTGAACCAATGCTTAAAGCAGACAATGATAAACGTTTTTGTTGCTCAATGTTTGACAGAGTTGGAACCAAACTGGTAGCGTGGTGACCTGTGATGGAGGCTTCAGCTGCGTCTTCTGATGCGTGGCTATCGAAGGAAGATCTTTTATCTGTCCAAATGCGTAATTGGCTCATTAATTTTGAAAACTTTTTGGAGGTGTAAAAGAAGTATTTTTACATTCAAAACAAAAATAGATGAAAAAATTGTTGTCTGTCCATCAATCTATATCATGGATAGTTAAAAAGAGCTTAGTAAAGAAGAGATGGAATAATAGGAAGATAGAGTATAAGGAGGATAAAAAGAAAAAAAAATCAGAGAATAACGAGCGAAGGAAAGGAAGGTAGGAAATGGAGTAAACAAGAAGAAAATAATAAATGAAGGATCGTTGGGTTTGTTAAAAAAAATTAAATTCCTTTAAAAATTTTACGGGAGTCTGATTTTTTGCCAATAACTTTCAATTAGAAATTGATTTATAACAGTGTACACTTCAAAAGCGTATAAAAATTTGCAATGAGCATATTCAGTTGTATAATTTAAAATCTTGATATCAAACTGACCAACAATAGCCTCTAAGGTTTTAATTTAGTTTACTATCCAATGCGAGTAACAGAAAACTTCCATCTGATTTGGGACAAAAAATGAATTTTACGGATAACAATGTTATAATTACAGTTGAGGTCATATTATTATCCGCACATGTACGACATAATCAAAACAGTCTTTACGAGTACATTATCTTTGATAAACTATTAAAGATTTTAATAAAATCATCTAGTTTACTACAGGATTAATGCCTGATTTCTACTGACGCCTGTTATGAAATATCTATACACCAGAACTTACATAATTATTACATTAATTTCAAATAATATTGTTGATATTTTTGGCCCCTTTCACTGACGGTCTGACCCTATGCAGAAATTGAAAAGTCACACTCAACTCAAGTTGGTTTGTACATCAAAGTTATATCATCAAAATAATAACTTGCTCTCATTTAATGGTTTCGTAGATACATTGTGAAGCTTCTGTCGTTCTGTCACTGAATAAAGCAAGTAGCTTAAACTCAATAAAGCTCAGAAAACATGATGTTAAATTTTATTTCTAATGGAGGTTCTAACTTTCTTGTATTTATGAGCACCATTTTTTACCGAGCTCTGGGAGCAGATGTGAAGAGTTTTTGTCGCTGCAATGTAACTGCATTCCAAACAGGAACAAATCTTGTAGGCCTAAGGCTGAGCCAGTCAATTTTACCACATCACTGGAGAACGCAAACCGCCACGGCATCACAGCGCCACCAGTCCAGATGCTCACCCAAACTTTCTTGCTCTGGCACCGCAGAATTTAGTCAAATAAAAATGTCAAACAAAGAAGTATTGTATAAAAATGAGAAAAATAGCTCCGTCTACTAATACAGTAGGTAATCAACAACATAAAAGAAAATTGCTGACACGTTCAAAATTGATTAATAATTATTGAATGCGTAATTTGTGGCTCCAACTTGAACACTAGTTGCATCTATTATTACGTGTTCGCTTTGACTAGGTTTGTAAGAGAAGGAAAAAGAAACTTACTTGCACAATAATGGAGTCATTGGAACCCTAATTCGATATTGTCCAATCTAATCACGATCTCGTGTCAATCCTAATGCAATTCAGGTCAAATTTTCTCCTAATTCCGAGCATTGAAGCACGTGTGACGCCTGCAATTTGGTATGGTAATGCAGACCGGAGCGACCCTCGCCACACTCGCCCCGCGGCACGCAGATATTCCCATGATGAACTGCGCGCAACTCCACGGATCACGAACGTCAGGTTTAAGTATGAAATTCTTAGGGCAATACAGAGATGTGGAACACGCGAGGAAAAAACTCGGAATTTTCCATCTTTATATCTCTTTGGGCATCAGCTCATGCAATTGATAAGTAATTAAGTAATTGATAAGTGATTAATTAAATAATAAGTAAGCCACAGAGAACTGTACACCAAGGTTAAAGTTGCATAATGTGAATTTGTTGAAGCAACGAAACTCGAATGTTGGACACCAACACAGGTGCATTCAATCAGGGGGCAGAGGAATGACGTTAAACCTGTTAGTGCAGATTGTACCGCTGAAATTATTATGGTCACATTAGTTCATCTTTAAACTTAACAGTAACTTAGAAAAATATTTTTGGACGTTGAATATACGTATTAATAAACATGACCTATCTTAATAAACTCAAATGGGCAATTTAATATGAGCGAGTAAACTTTAATAAGAAGCATATGAGTTGCTATTACTCAAAAGTAGCTTTTTAAGTAGCATTGACTCATTAACAGCCCCATACCTCACCATTGTCACGCAAGTAGCCATCACTAATAAGTAGTACTGCTCGGATGTATAGACATGCAAACGGACAACTACCACCTGAACACATCCAGCAGCAGCCAGTAACCAGCAGCAGTCAGTCCCCAGCAGCAGTCAGTCCCCAGCAGCAGTCAGTCCCCAGCAGCAGTCAGTCCCCAGCAACAGTCAGTCCCCAGCAGCAGTCAGTCCCCAGCAGCAGTCAGTCCACACGATGTCCGTGCGAGGCTCGTAGCCCCACTTCCCCTTGTCTGTATTAGCATAAGAAGAGACTCGTCTTGAGGCCGCTCTATTGGGTGTTATAGCAGCCCCATGAAAGGTTAAAGGCGACTTAGAGCCAACGCCTGGCCCGGATTAAGCCACCCCACCAGTTTAAATTCTTCTCAATTGACTTCACAGCTTTAGACATGATAATTTGCTGCATTGTTTCGTGCCTTCGACGAGCTAAGAATGAACTGGTCATTGATTTTTCTGTGATACGATAAAGTGCAGATGCGTTATATTGGCGGTAAAGAACTCACCGAACATTGAGACTATATAGTAAGAATAAACCATGGATAATCCACTAGATGTAAACCTTCAATTTCATAAGTGTATCATTTGAAGTAAACATATCTCTATGAAATTAAATTGTGATCAAATGTGAAAATTGAGAAAAATAACGAAGAAACGACAGAGGCGGGCCATGATTATTACAAATTGGCTGGGCGTAAAGAAACATTTTATCTTTATTTCAATTTCACTATATAATCGAATCAGAAACCGTCTTAGTTAAGCTATGATAAATTGTATTGCAAGTTAGAGCATTTATTTTATCATTTACGCGAACAAACTTCTGTTGTTATAATGAACTTATAAACATTCTAGCATTTCAAGCGCTGTAAAGTCCATGCAGTGTAAAGCCTCTTCCCTAATTTTACTGAACCTATGAATATGAAAACGAACGGGTGCTAGGCTGGAGCTTTTGTCATCCCCGCTGCAAAAGCGCGGTTAGATTGTAATATACTGCATATTACTCCATTAAAGTTTTTAAATTGCGAAAAGGACAGGGAGAGGGGCAGTGTGGGAGGAGTTACAAGCTAGGGGAAAATAACGTGGCTAGAAGGTCGGACAGAATGCAATACCATTTTACAACATCAGCATCTGCTTTGTATAAGTTTATGTGTTAAATTGATTCCGATATTCGTACTAGAGGTGACCATGAACACTTTTAAGTAAGTATCAGTATTTTAAAAATTTCGTAGGCAGTCACAAGTTGAGATATTCGCTGTCTCAACGAACACTACAGACAGGAATGTGGTAGCGGCAATTCGCCAGCTCTTTAGTGGTGGGAAATAACTTCGTCGAGCGCTCGGGAAGAATGAGTCTCTAGACTGCCATTAAATTTATTCAGGAATCTAAAAGCAATAATCATGGCTGAAAACTGATCTCAGCCATCCTGGTGACTGTATTTTTCGCAAAAATGTTACTTTTTTCAAAATTTTACTATTTCCTCTGTAAGACTGATTAGGCTTACGAAAAGTAAAGTTCTGAGGCAATGGAAACAGAACTCTGCCTTTGGCAAATAAATTTTTAAAATATTGATTGCCTTTGTGATTTTTCTCCGAATCGAGCTGGGAGATATCATTTAAATTAATCAAAAGCTTTCTGAAATCAAATTTACAAGGTTACTGTAACTATATATGCGCTAAAACTGCTAACAATTGTAACGTTAATTACGCTCGGTAGACAAAAGTTTTGACGAAAAACGCAGCATCGATATTTTTAGTGTAAAAATGTAATCAGAAACGATCGATGATCGAGCAGTTGTTTCTGCAATAACGAATTCTCTTCAAATTTTTATTGAATAAATTTTATTTCAGTCAGCATTCATCACTTAAATTAACTATTTGTATTTAGATCCATGAGAATTAAGTGTCCGGAAATTGTGTTTTGGGGGGTGTTAAACTCGTAAATTGATGCGACGAAACGCTTCCATTGTAAATTTTACAATAAATTTTAAGTTTCGGAAGAATCACGAGTTTACAGGTTGAAATAACCCAAGTAATAGCAATGAAACGGTTAAAAACATCACGACATACTATTTAATTCAAGTCAATCGAATATTTTCCAGCATAGAAATAATCATCCAGAATGCAACTTTGATCAGACCCGACAGCTAAATTCGTCGTACGCCAGCGCTCAGTTTTGGGCAGATCGTTCATTCGCCGCGATGTGTGATTTCCTGGCCCGTCCTGACTAGACGGATCGCAGCGCCCGCCTCCTGCCGACTAAACAGCTATTTCCGTTGTGCATAACGGGCGAAGTGTTCGAGTCTTACAAACTAGTTACAGCGAATTACAATAACGGCTGCTTGGTATTAAACACGTCTTGCAAAGCTGTGAAACACGGTGCTATTCCTCCATCAAAACTTTTTTTAACTTTAGCCTAAATTCCTCTTACTTTTAATAATCAGAGCTCATATATCAGTATTTATTGCATATTTATCAGTATTGCAAACCTTTCACCACTAAATGCTTACCGCCCACTCGGTGTTGATTATTCTTGGCATTCATTTACTGCAACTCATCCTTGCTTCTCATATCACAATTATCACTGCTTCATATGCATTCGTATCATATAACTTTGTAAGCCTCGTTTTTCACCCTTAATACAGCCTTTCTTGCAATTGAATCTGTTAATAACCTCAGAATAATTACGTATTTTTCTCAGTTGTAAACAGTCTGGCATAGGGTAGAAACAGACCTCCTCGAACCCACGACCTAAAGAAATATACTAATCTTGTGCGGTGAAGTGCGACATATTTTTACGGTAGGAAAATGTTTATCGTATCTTACTCTTGAAGAAATGAAAAACGTTAAAGTTTCATACGTATTACGAGCTGCGGGACCGGAAGAAAAATTTCCAGGTTACTGATGATACTCAGTTTATTTAACGAATTATTGACAGAAATTAAGTTAATTTTCGTTAAAATTAAATTATTATTTCAGGACCCGGACATGTTATGTCTCAACGCATTCACTACTTCCATAATTAAAGTGATGGACTAATGCAATGAATGCAT